CCAGCATTGGTATAATATGCATACAAACAAATCAGAGCTCTGGCCAGCATTGGTATAATATGCATACAAACAAAACAGAGCTCTGGCCAGCAGTGGCATAATATGCATACAAACAAAACAGAGCTCTGGCCAACTGTGGCTTAATATGCATACAAACAAAACAGAGCTCTGGCCAGCATTGGTATAATATGCATACAAACAAATCAGAGCTCTGGCCAGCAGTGGCATAATATGCATACAAACAAAACAGAGCTCTGGCCAACTGTGGCTTAATATGCATACAAACAAAACAGAGCTCTGGCCAGCAGTGGCATAATATGCATACAAACAAAACAGAGCTCTGGCCAACTGTGGCTTAATATGCATACAAACAAAACAGAGCTCTGGCCAGCATTGGTATAATATGCATACAAACAAATCAGAGCTCTGGCCAGCAGTGGCATAATATGCATACAAACAAAACAGAGCTCTGGCCAGCAGTGGCATAATATGCATACAAAGAAAATACAGCTCTGGCCAACTGTGGCTTAATATGCATACAAACAAAACAGAGCTCTGGCCAACTGTGGCTTAATATGCATACAAACAAAACAGAGCTCTGGCCAACTGTGGCTTAATATGCATACAAACAAAACAGAGCTCTGGCCAACAGTGGCTTAATATGCATACAAACAAAACAGAGCTCTGGCCAACTGTGGCTTAATATGCATATAAACAAAACAGAGCTCTGGCCAGCATTGGTATAATATGCATACAAACAAAACAGAGCTCTGGCCATCAGTGGCATAATATTTATACAAAGAAAATACAGCTCTGGTCAACTGTGGCTTAATATACATACAAACAAAACAGAGCTCTGGCCAACTGTGGCCTAATATGCCTACAAACAAAACATTGTTCTGGCCAACTGTGGCTCAATCAATATGCATACAAACAGAACAGAGCTCTGGTCAACTGCGACCTAATATGCATATCAGCATTAATACATTATAGCTTATACATTGTACTAGTTATTTTTAATACAGTTGTGCAACTTGCTAAGAAAAACAAAGCCCAGGTGGTAAAACTTTTAATTATGCAAAGTAGGTACCGGGGGTAGTTAAAAAGCACATATTGGTTTAAAACATTTTCAAACAATTATCAGTCATATAATTACACACATAATATGCAAGTATCAATCCTTTTGTGCAAACCATTATATTAACCATGCTGAACGTAGTTAATTAGTACACATGTTAGTGAAATTCTATGCATACATTCCAAACTAGTGTTTATTCATTTGATGTCACAAATGTAATTTCACTTCTGTATTACAAGGATTAAATAATACAAAACTGTTGCTACAAACCTGTGCATGATCATGTTAGGAAAGGCTGTATTTAACCTCAGTTAAATTGAATGATTTGATTAGATACACCAAGGAGCATTCAGTGTTCCTTTAACTCCATGAATTTCCAATTCAAACCAATAAATTTTGCCATCTTACATCATTGAGTGACAAAATAAAAGCAACTTCACATTTAATTTCCCATAAACAAATCACTCATGTGACTTTGTGTTCCATTTACCTTGAAAATATTGTGGTTTGGTTATGTCTATACAGTGAATAAGGGTTTTAGTGAGAATTCTGGCACTACACCGACAGTAGAAGGAAGATTATATCAGAAGCGAAACTTTTTGTTGGGGTAAGTGGGTTTGAATCCCACAACTGGTAGTGGTATTGTAAAAGTGGTTCATCTGAAAAGGAAACCTGTCAGGACATGAGTGGGTTTGAATACCATCACCAACAGTAGTAAGCAGGGTTTATCTCTGGGACTCATTATTAGGGGGTAAGTAGGTTTAAATTCCACCACCACCAGTAGAAAGATTAAGCTTCATCTGAGGTGGAAAGCTTTATGAGTAGGTGAGAGTTCAAATGCCACCACCAACAGTAGTAAGGGTGGGGGAGTTTGTTTAAATCCCATAACCAGTACTCGTAGTAGTAATAAGGGTTCAACTGAGAGGGAAACCTTTGTTAGGGGGTGAGTGGTTTTGAATCCCACCACCTACAGTATTAAAAAGAGTTTGTCCGAGAGGAAATTTGTTGTTTGGATGAGTGGGTTTGAACCCCACAACTGGTAGTAGTAATAATGGTTTGATTCCCATTAAAACAGTAGTAAGGAGAATTTATCAGACAGGTACAATTGCAGTCCTGGTAACTGGGTTCAAATCCCACCACCAACGGCAGGATGATAGGTGTATTTGAGGAGGGAACCTTTCATAGGAGGTAAGTGGGTTCAAATCCCACCACCAACAGTAGTCAGAAGGGTTTATTTGACAGGGAAACTCATTGGTGAGTGGGTTTGAATCCCATCACCTGTAGTAGTAATGGTAAAAAGGGTGTATTTGACAGGGAAACTCATTGGTGAGTGGGTTTGAATCCCATCACCTGTAGTAGTAATGGTAAAAAGGGTTTATTTGACAGGGAAACTCATTGGTGAGTAGGTTTGAATCCCATCACCTGTAGTAGTAATGGTAAAAAGGGTTTATGTGACAGGGAAACTCATTGGTGAGTGGGTTTGAATCCCATCACCTGTAGTAGTAATGGTAAAAAGGGTTTATGTGACAGGGAAACTCATTGGTGAGTGGGTTTGAATCCCATCACCTGTAGTAGTAATGGTAAAAAGGGTTTATGTGACAGGGAAACTCATTGGTGAGTGGGTTTGAATCCCATCACCTGTAGTAGTAATGGTAAAAAGGGTTTATGTGGGAAGGAACCCGTCAGTGAGAAGAGTAGTAACAAGAAGGAAACTCATCAGTAGGTTGAATAGGTGATTTTCCATACAATTGCGAACCTGTTCTCCAGCAAACAAAAACAAAATACCATTAATTATGTAAAAACCCATCCATTAATTATGTATAAAAATGTATTCCATCTGAGCCCGGAAGTAAAAAAAAGAGCGTGACATTCCAAATATCATAATAATATTGCCCACTATTGGGGGCATCACATAAGACACGTGTTGCCGGTGTTTGTGATGATTAATGTGAACCAAACGGAAGCAATTAATTACTGTGAATAGCATAGCATAATTCATGTTAAATAAATTACTATATCAGACGGATCTGAATCCCCAGACACAACACGTGTTGTCTTGTCTCGAACAAAACACAAAATAACTCAAATCCCTTACACGGCCTCCGGATAACCTTTTGGCGAACTGCCATTCACCTAAATAACCGAGTTTGTCGCGACAGTCGGCTACGCGAATGGCGTGACGTTGACTACACATTACTTGAATCGTTGCCAACAACGTGTCCAATTCCCGCCGAATAACCAGCCGAGCTGCACAAACGTCATAGCCAACGCCCACAATATTACCTTATATGGTAATTGCCGCCATTCGGTCTCGCATTGATTCAGCAAAGGAACCGACAGTTTGACATACTACGCATTCCGATCGGTCACCTCCGTGAAGATTTTAAGCCGTATACGTTTGCTTATTTCGTTTATTGGTAACATATTTGTTGGTAAATATAAATTTTCTTCATACGGAAAACCGAAGATGATGAAAAATCGATTTGGAAAATCCGGAAAGCACCGAAGTGAGTAAAATTTTCTTCTTCTCAAAAAAAATATCCACTCAGAACATGGCACTCCAATGTTTTGTTTATACCGGCATTTACTAGTATCTGTGCGTATGAGTGTACAGTCGTCATTGGGTTACCATTTCCGCCTAAAACCACGCATCGGTCTTTGTGTGTGTGGTACTTAATATTCAGATAATTATTCTATTTGTAGTATTTTACATCGTGTTTTTTTTTTGTAAATATTGCGTACTCATGTGTCGTTTTAGGCGTACCGGCGTTTTTCTTTTGAAGGTCACACAGCACGTTGTGAGTCGTGAGGCCTGTGTACAAAAATCTGTACTTGCTGTCAAATCTGTCTTTATTTTCAACCAACATGAAATTGTTCGGTTATTTGGTAACTGACTGTCGAGTTTCATTCAAAATTACCAATTTAAATCGTTCTTTTTGGCTTTGTTTATATCAGTAATGTAGCACACATTTTATTCACGTCGTTGGTGTGACGAATACAAATCAATCCCCTTTTCAAAGGCCTCTTTGTCTGATGTCGTATTACCCGGTAAACCGAATAGTACGTACGTGTCTGGCCCTCTTAATATGAAATAATTTCAGCTTTTACAATAATTTATTTTCTCCACTTGCTACTAAATATCCGTTTTTTTGTCTTTAGTTTGTTTTGGGTGGGATGTGGCTTGATAGTGTGTTCAATATTACCTTCACGGCGGATCTAAACACGCACACCATCACGTACGTAGACTAGACGTAGCGGCTCAGACATGGTAATCGTCAAACAGATCCCAACAGACATTACGTAATTAAACCTAGAAGAGGGCCTGATCGTTGTTTAGTTGCGAAAAAACTAAACAAGCACTTTTAACTTGGTTTCCTTTTACATTTTCTAAAAAAGGGAATATTCTCTTATTAAATTACGCAACTGTAAAAACATTCATTAAATCATGTTTGAAAAAATAATGATATAATATTTAAATATATATCGTAATACGTAAAAATTCATTTTAGTTTATTTTGTATTTGATGGGGACTACAATTACTCATTCAGTGCAACATAATAATTACTAAATTAGTAATAAATAGTCAGTGTGGACTAGTAGATATTTATTTTTAGCTTTATCACAAGTTGAACACTGGACAATGAAATGAGTTTGAATGTTTTATATTCAAATTGTAGGAAGGAAGGTAAATTTTGTCTGTGACTTAATTACAACATGACTTGGATACACATGTTATTTGTGATTCACATGTACATATGTATTCAACTGAAACACCTACTTAAGGGGGAAGAAGTCATTTCTATCACAATCACATGTTGGCTGTGGTAACGCCCTCCTAATTCTACACAAGTTCATCTGATTTTTTTTGTAGGCGTCTACTAGTATTGGTCTGCATGTGACAATTTGTTTAGGTCACTTCTTGTTTTTGCCAGTCTCTCATCATAAAATATTTCAATGCAATAATTTGTACAGATTTGTCTATAGTGTTTGGTTAATTGTTTACCAAATGGACATAGTTTTTCATTGCCTACATGCCCTGATAAAGTTTTGGAGGTTTATTTTCTGTAAAGTTACAAAAATTTGCTCTCAAACTATTATACACATGTAGTTATACATCCCCTACCACCTGATGGATTCTACATTCACATGATCCCCGCCCAAGTTGTCTGTTTATTTTGGCCACTAAATATCATAAATTTAGATTAGTGAATAATAGGGCACCATGCACATGGTCATAGTTAATCTTCTTAGAGTGAGGATGATTGGTTGATTGTTAAAAAGGAATTTCTATCCTAAATACAGTAGTGTAGACCCCATTGATAATCCTCAATGGAACAGATTCAGTGTAAATATTGGCATGTTGCCATAATTTTCTGTTTTGTAGTTTTCACCTATGTCCTACCTGGTAACTGCAATGTTCTGCTGCAAATCATGATTAATGATCATGTGACAGTAATTATGCGAGTTCTGAGTAAAGGTCATGTGACAATAACAAATGTAGCAGATGGTAAAAATCTTTTTTTTTTTTTTTTTAAACTAGTCCCTACCCTTCTCCCAACAATTAATCATTAATCATTAATCATCATTTAATTGCAATAGATTTTTCTTGCCAGAGCTTTTGTCCCAATATTCAAAAAAAAAAAAAAATTGCATAATTTCATTCTATAAATCATTGTGTGGAAGAATGTGCAGTTTGTTTGTAACATAATCTCTTGGTCATTGAGTAGTGTTCAAGGAAACATTACCAACAACCAAGCAATTAATACAATTAAATGACCATTATCTTCTATTATCAGTATTTTCAAACTGTTAAAATTAATTTTTTTCATGGTCAGCATGAATTACCATGATCACCATGGTAACAAGTTATGTCCTTAAAAGAATTTGTCATTATATTATGTTACTATGGCAACATGCTAGTTCATTAAATAAATTTATTCTAGTAATAGAAAACATTGATTTTGATTTTAAAATTGAGCCTTTATCCTGTTTGTATATTTATACAGTTGTACGTCTCGATATTTTCACCTTTACAAACTGTATAGTCATTGTTAAATACAATTTGAAGTTTTACAATTGCAATAACTTTTCCCATTCATGTGGCGCCATTGTAATTTCAATGAATGATGGTATTCTGTGAATGGTGTCATTTACGTCATTGCTATTCATGAGTCTACATCACATGGCAGTCATATGACTAGTCCAAACATGATCTTGGTATGTATGGCATGGTCTGCATTTTATACTTTATATTTAAGATGGAATGATGACCACCTATCGGTAACTACCCTGTCATTCTAGTATCTGTCATAGTTATCATAACTGTCATTAAATATTACATTACCAAGCTGGTGCATGGTGAGGGCAGTCTGGGTGGTGACAATCAGACGTAATTTTTTGAAAAATTACATTAAATTTTGTATTTATGAATCTAAAATGTCAAATAAAGCTCAATTCTAAATATTACACAATCAACTATTTTGGCATATGCACGTCTCTAATTAATGGTTCCTTACAATCAATGAATTCGCCCCTCTCCCTGAATGCCAACTCAAACTCATTTTGGCAATATATGTATCGGTACATGTATATTAATAATGATATTATTTATTATATTTATTTTGACCAAGTGTGAATAATTTGAGTTTCTTCACTAGTATCTTAGCTTATGGACTTGTAAATTTTTTTAAATATCAAATACCAGTATAAATGATTGTGTATGAGGATTAAACCATGCCCTGTATCCATGGTGATCGTATAATTCATGACTTGCAGTTTTACACAATTTACTAATCTCTTAGGGTTGTTGTGAATAACAGATTGAACAGGTGTCCTCATTACACTGTCATTGTATATTCATTTTGGTGAAGGCAGGCTGCTGGTAAATATACAGGCAGTATAGGTGGCCTATTACCCATGGGTGCACATGTCATTTAAAATTACATCAGTTCTTATTTCCATAATACCTCTCCCCACTGCATGGTTAAGTTACATGTATACATCTGTCAAAACATATGTTCATTATTGTACAAATGTATGTTTTTAAAACTAGATCTACAGTAATATAAATTATGAATCTAGGTTATTTTAATAGAGCAATTTTAACGATTGACCCAAGTATTATGTTTCATCCTGTAACATGCTTATACTATTAAAAAAATGTCATATAATTTGGGGAAAAAGTGTACCTTCTCTCCCATGTACATGTATATTAACAGTTGTCGTGCTGTGGCATGACTCAGGTTTGTACAAATATCTCATTTGTATCAGTGTCAACAAATACTATATAAATACTTGAGTTATGAATTATGTATCTATTTTTACCTGGTATCATTTTTTTTATCTGATATTCAATACAGTAACAAGGCTATATTTTAATGCACATCTATCATGTGCACCTGGCCTGCTCTGATCCAAACTGCTTATTGCTAGTATATGTTCACACTGATGGGCCCTATCAGTAAAACATTCGAAAGCAGTCTTAATTCTGTATATTTTAAAAATCACTGAATTTATCCAAATTTTATTTTGTTTCATTCTCAGCCAATATAAGGATATTCAGGTCAAATAAGGTTTTGAGTACATGTCGCGGTACGGTACAAGCTCCCTTAATTTTCTAACATCATTAGCTAGTATTTCATGTATATCATTGACCTCTGACATATTGTACCCAAGGAAGTACAACTCGTGACTTCATACCATGGTGGAATATTCCAGAAAGTTGATGTTGTAAATCACTCTCTTATCCTATTATGCATTGCAGGAATTTTAAGTATTTCATTGACGTGAATGTTATGCCAATTGTGATGTCTGGTAGATAGAATGGTTTGGCAAGAATTTCTTACCAACTCTCTCCAATAGGGCTTGTTTAAGGTAGAGGGTACTCCAGCATTTTGACCTGTGCACCTATTTATAGCATATATAGTACATACATGTGTCATTTTTTCACTGTTAATTTTTTTTTTGAGAAACTACACTGTGCATTATTTATTATTAATTATTATATACCGCGATGAAAATATGATAACCATTTTGTCTGAGTAATTGAATATTTGAAATTATAATCTTATTATTCAAGGTGAAAGTCAATATTTATTGTAATCAGACAGATCTAAATGTAATTCGTCATAGCTCATTGGGTACTGGTGAACGGTCAGCAGAAGCCACGAGTCCAACAGGACTGCAAATCTAAATGTAATTCATCATAACTCATTGGCTACTGGTGAACGGTCAGCAGATGCCACGAGTCCAACAGGACTGCAAATCTAAATGTAATTCATCATAGCTCATTGGTTACTGGTGAACGGTCAGCAGAAGCCACGAGTCCAACTGGACTGCAAATCTAAATGTAATTCATCATAGCTCATTGGCTACTGGTGAACAGTTAGCAGAAGCCATGAGTCCAACTGGACTGCAAATCTAAATGTAATTCGCCATAGCTCACTGGCTACTGGTGAACGGTCAGCAGAAGCCACGAGTCCAACTGGACTGCAAATCTAAATGTAA